ATGTTTTTACATAATTAGCACTCACTGTCATTTAGTAATAAATGCTTTTAAAGAAGATCATTTCGATAATAAAATACAGGCCTTATTCTATATAGATAAAATTATTTTTTAGCAAACAATTACAAATAATTTGCACAACTTTATTTAATCTCTGTTCTGTGTTTAGTCAAATGAAAGAGCATGAATCAACATATAAGGATTCTTGAGTTCAGAGGAACTAAATGGGTGTTTTGTTCACCTTGCTTCAAAACTACTGAAGATATATATATGTATATGTATATATGCATTTGCCCACCGATGGGTGTTTTCTTTTTGCTTTAGGGATTTTTTACATTTATTTTTTTTTTCTGGCTGCAAATCATGAAATGAGATTAAAGCACACCTTGTAGAGGACAAACATTCAGAAAGGGCTCTTTGAGAGCATTTGTCCGCTCTGTATTTCATGTGTGCTGTGAAGGAAGCTCAGGTAAACTCTTGGCCGTCCTGACAGGTGTGTTGCTGGGCGACAGTGACTAACACAGACAGCATTAACACACATCAGTGAGCGGAGCTCCAGCACAGCTGCTGCAGGCCTGACTCCACATATCCAGCAGTCGAACTGCACATTTCACTGCGTGTTTGCAGTGCCTCATGCATATTATGAGACATTAAATACATTGGAAAAGTTGACATCCTTGTGTGACTTACAATATTCTAACTTCATTTTATAAACACTTTACTCTAACTCTTGGTGTAAATACACAAAAAAACAATTGTGTAGAAACAATTTTCACTCGGAAATTTCACAATTGCAAAGACTCTGCAAGTTACACATTAAATTAAATGACATTTTGAAGTAGAAAAACGGAAATAATATTTTATTGTAAAATGTACTCCAATACAAAAAGATTATTTTATTTTATTGTAGTATATTTTAAAAGAAAATACTATTTCAGTCTTTCTACTTCAAAATTTGAAAAACTTTTAAGCAATTGTTTATAATTACTTGTAAAATCAAATAGCAATTTTTGAGTGAAAATTGTTTCTACATGACTTTTTATACAACTTTATACAATATATATATATATATATATATCAATATATACTATATAATATAATATAAAATATAATTTAGTATAATATAGTATGTATATCTTGAATCTTAATGTAACAAGACTACATCAATGTGAGAAACAGAGAGAAACATCAAAACAAACAGTAACGGGGGAAATTACAGACATGAAAAGGAGGGATGAAGAGGTCAGAGGTCAAAGGTCAGAGGTGAGCGTGCAGATTACTCACAGAAATCTCACTGTCCACACCAGGATACATCTACAACACCGACACAGGGATGAGGAAGAGGAAGAGAGGGTGGAAAAAAAGAGGGAGATGAAAACGTGACTCAGCGAAACGAGCAAACAAAGAGGAGGACATAAATGGAAGGGTATGAAAAACGCACAGAGAGAGAGAGAGAGAGAGAGAGAGAGAGAGAGAGAGAGATCTTTGATGAAGTTGAGCGAAAACTGTTGATTATACAACATATATCAATATATTTTACATATAATCATATAAAACAGTATAAAACATATTAATAGTATAATTAAATAATAATATTTTTTAAATACTGACATAAAAGGCATTAATAGGCTCAATAGGTCAAGTCTTAAGTGATTTCACCATTGTCTGTCCTGTTAATTATTTAATATATATCAACATATACAATAAAATGTAATATAAAATAAAACATAATATACAATAAAACAACTTTATATACTCACATAAAAGGCATTAATATACTTAGTAGTTAGTTAATTATATATATATATATATATATATATATATATATATATATATATATTATCTGCATTAATGTGAGAAACAGAGAAAAACATCAAAACAAACTGTAACGGGGGAAATTAAAGACATGAAAAGGAGGGATGAAGAGGTCAGAGGTGAGGGTGCAGATTACTCACAGAAATCTCACTGTCCACACCAGGATACATCTACAACACCGACACAGGGATGAGGAAGAGGAAGAGAGGGAGGAAAAAAAAGAGGGAGATGAAAACGTGACTCAGCGAAACGAGCAAACAAAGAGGATATAAATGGAAGGGTATGAAAAATGCACAAAGATAGAGAGAGAGAGAGAGAGAGAGAGAGAGAGATCTTTGCTGAAGCTGAGCAAAAAGATCCAGGATTGTTAAAAAGAAAGGGCCTTAAATCTCAGGGTCACATGATGTTGTAATGCAGCTGGGTTAACCGGGTGCCGAGTGCAAGGGATTCTGGGTAACGTCATTAAGATTCCAGACCTTATGGCTGAAGGAACGTTTGGTTAGCATAATGCAGATTACGACAGAAAATCATTTCATCTCATCCCTCAGTTTGTAAAAACAAGAAAAAAATGGAAAACATGGAGGTCTGTGCGATCAGAATAAAGCTCATATGTTAAAATAACTAATACTGTCATACAGTGACATGCATTGAAAAATAGTGTTATTTTAGTATAATTTACACACTATTATAGTATTTATGAATATTTAAATTAACTTTTCAAATTTTGTTTTAATTTTATTTTGTCAAAAAGTGACATGCATTGAACATCAGTGTTATTTTGTAATAAAGTATTATTGTATTTATCAATTTATTAAATTAGCTTTTATTTTTTATATTTTCAGTTTTATTTTATTTTGTCAAAGAGACCAGCATTGAACGTTAGTGTTATTTTGTTATTATTTATCAATTATTACAGTATTATTTTAAATTAGCCATTTTTTATATTTTCAGTTTTGTTTTAATTTTTTCAAAGCATTGAACAGTAGTGTTACTTATAATTTTTTGATACACTATTATAGTATTTATTAATATTTAAAATTAGGGTTTATTTTACATTTTGTAAAAGCGACAGGCGTTGAACATCAATGTTATTTTATTATTATTTATAATAATAATATAGTTATTGTTATAGTATTTATAAATATTTTGTATTAGCTTTT